TCACTTTCCTTCGTTTTTTAAAACATTTCTATCGTCTCACGTACTTTCGTCATATGGGCAGAAAGTGTGCAGCATTCACTGCCATATAGGAACGCTGTCGAAGAATTTGTTTGTATACTGCATAACCTGACCTCGGACCAATTCTCTTAAAATAAAAGTTATTGTCCCCATTAGATGTGCAGGTGCCATAAAGGTTATATACACCAGAAAAGGAAATTAGCAGGTGGATTTCACATTACGACCGAAACTTGCATTCACGAATACTCTCTTTTTTCTCTGCGTCAGAACAGTATCACGGATGCGTTTCTTTTGTCATAGGAAATCTTGAAGAAGAACGCTGATTTCAAAACCCTGGAAATGAAAACGAGGAACTACTCCATCGGTGTTGTGTAATGGTTAGCAAGCTTGTCTTGCTAGAGCAATTACGACTGAGTAGTGAGTTCGATTCTCAAGAACAGTTATAGATTTTTAATACCGTACTCTGCTTCTAGTTATAGGTGAAATAGCAGGGTAGACTGGGCTATCTAGCCCTGCTGGTCAAATATTTGATGAGAATGAACACTTTGAATACAAAAGTGTAGAGAAGGCAACAGGAAACCGCTGTGTTTCTCAAGAAAGTATGGAAATTGATGTCTAATAAGGAAATCAAATTTGTGGAGAGTTATGAGCGCCTTTGTCATGAAAGGACATGGTATTAAATGAAATAAAATAAAAATGCTTTGGAAATTTTCAGAACGAGAAACATCAATTCTTTCTTGCGGGGGTCATATATTTCTTCTTCTTCTTCTTCTATGTACTGTGTCCCTATCATGGATCTCCACAACTTCCTGTCCTTCGTAACTCTTAGTAAATTTTGTCTTTTTGCTATTCCTACTAATTCCTGTTCTGCCAACCATTTACACAAGCTCTTCCTTCTTCTTCTTTGTTTCATTTCCCTTCAGGACAGTGGCGATCATGGCTCTCCACAACTTCCTGTCCTTCGTAGCTCTTAGCAAATTTTGTCTTTTTGCTATGTCTCCTAATTTCTGTTCTGCCAACCATTTACACAAGCTCTTTCTTCTTCTTTGTTTCATTTCCCTTCAGGACAGTGGTGATCATGGCTCTCCACAACTTCCTGTCCTTCGTAGCTCTTAGCAAATTTTGTCTTTTTGCTATCCCTCTTAATTCCTGTTCTATCAACCATTCACACAAGCTCGTTCAGTGGATTATGTGATGCATTCTTCTGTCCTTGTTGCCTTAAATATTTCCTGTTAGTGTTTAATTTTCTAAGCCTTCTTTCCTCATTATGTGCCCTAGAAATTTAAACTGTCTGATATTAAGTATAAGTGTACATTTAGTTTCCATTTTCTCTTTTTCGTTGTTACACGTAGTAACTATATATATATATATATATATATATATATATATATATATATATATATATATACCTGGCCAAGGAATCGAACTGAGAATTTCCGGGGACCAAGACAATATTTACGAGCTTTTTTTGTGCACTACGTCATACTAATTAGGACCTTCGTTTCTACGAAAATATAATCAAAGCTTATGAAGTATTGCAATCCGAAGTTTTGTTGGAAAGACTTTACACTTAGAAATATTGTCCAGTGGAAATAAAATTTTGACTTACCGTAATGCCCGGTGTATAATACGCATTTTTCTGAAAAAATAGTGAGCAAAATTAGGGGTGCGTATTATGCACAGTTACAAAAAATCCTTTAAAAATTCCCATTTCATAGGTCGATTTCACTTGCATACGACCATTTGACACTAAATTTGGCGATTGCGACTGCATAAGGATATCAAATACAATCATATGTAGCTAAAAAGACTTACAAATGTAAAATAAAATGAGAATGGCCATAAAACTAAATTAGAATAATATTATTCTATGTTTTAAACCATTTTTTCAAAAAAACTACATACAGATCCGGTAGATAAATATCTTAATTTACAACTTGAATAAGAGTAGGAAATGCTGGCTGTAATGAAATTGGAGAGGTATAATTTATAGGGTTAGATTACCAAAAAAGGGGGGCGTATTATTCGTGAGGAGAAGCATTTTCCTACACAATTTTAGGGTGCGTATTATATATGGGGAATTATACTTAGTCCATTCTTCTTACTTTCCTTCGCTCTGGGATGTGGTCTAACAGAGGATGTATTGTGATGAGCAAAGATGCATTCCAAAAGCTAAGCGGAGTATTAAGAGACAGGAAAATTTCGTTAGAAAAGAGTATTTAACTGCTACGTGATATCTGTCCTCCTGTATGACAGTGAATACTGGACAATCACCTCATAGATGAAGAAGAGACTTGAAGCAACAGAAATATAGTTCTACAGTAAGATGCCGAGGTTACCATGTGAGCAAAGACGATGTTTTGGAGAAAATGGAAACAAAAAGGTAATTGATACTTAACATCAGGTAGAGGCAGTTGAAATTTCTGCGGTAGGTAATGAAGAAGGAAGGCTTAGAAAAATTGATACTCCCAGGGCAGATTGAGAGAAAGAGAGAAACACAAAAGCAACGCGTGACATATTTGATCTGCTTGAGCAAATGGATGGTAGAACAGTATCTGGGAGAAATAACAAAAAGACAAAACTCATTAAGAGTTACAAGGGACAGGAAGATGTGGAGGGTCATGATCGCGTATATCTTGATGGAACGCAGCATATAAAAGAAGAAGAAGCTTCGTTCGTCTGCTGTCTTGTGCCAAGTTACCGAGACGACGTGTTATTAATCCTTTGCCTGTCAAGGTTACTTTCGTGTGTATTATAGCAAGGGAACTCAGCTTATTTGGCAAATAGAATGAGCTGATATATATATATATATATATATATATATATATATATATATTTAACATAATACAGACCTGTACATCACATGTGATTCAAAGAACGTACAAATCATAAATTATTTACACTACGCTCTGGGCTTCACATGAGATGTAAATGTTATAATCATTTCAATAAAATGAAAGTCTTTCATTTGAGAGCTTACATTATTATTCAAGCATCTTGTGCTGATATATGATGCAAAAAATATTTGATTAGGCCTTTCCTCAGACGTCCTGCTCAATAATAGACTCTTTTGTCTTTTCTTAAGCTTCCTTAGTTTTACCATTCTTTTAAAATCATGGCTCGTGTACACCACATATAATGCACGGACGTGGAAATTACATGTTCTGTGCATCACATATAATGCTCAGAACAGGCAAAAGGTTAATTTCATTACTCTATAATTAAGTATACGATACATTATCTCTATCTTTAAAAGGCAGGATGTGTGTGTGTGTAACGAATGCACGGTCGCAATTTTCGACGGATTTGCACCAAAATTTACATGCACATGCTCCAAGTTAGTGGGAAGGCCAAGACTGACTTTGCATTTCAAACTCCCATCGATAGTGGAAATAATCGATTTTTTCATGCTTCTACGGCAGTTTTCATGTAGTTTGCGGCCATTTTCTACTGGCCAGAATGAGAGCCTATAGCTGGCTGCCACGAATAGGCAGGAATATTCTATTGGCCAGCGTGAGAGCCAGCAGCTGACTGACACGAATGTTAACTAGCATGCTAGCATGCAAAAAAAATCGATAGCTGCATTAAAAATTAAATCTGCATGGCACTTTACTCCAGTTGGCTCATTCGCTTGCTTAAACTCAACGATGATTCTGATTCCGCAGAGCTGGGTTGGGTGTGAAAAAGTATTTGTTGTTAACATTCTTTTTTCATTCGGTTTTTCCAGTTATGAATCCTTTTTTAAAGCTGATCGTTTTGTTTTCATTTTGTTTAGTTCTTTTTTCGTAACAGATTTAATGTTTAGTATAGAGCTTAGAAAACATTCGCAGTGTGAGATAGGCAAGAAGTAAGGCATGTAGCAACATCAACACGGCAAATGGCACTCCTTTAAAGGCAAGGAAGGGCAAAAATATTTTAAGTCAAGTGATAGCGATTGCTGTATGAGTCGTACGACTTTTGAATCAAGCATGGGCAACGCCGGTCCATGCTGCTAGTATATATATATATGTTAAATATTTGGGCAAATGATCCCGACGTGAACGTCTTTTCCAATTGTCATTTAATTTAGATATATCAAATATTATCTACGTAAGGAGAAAAAATACAAATAATCGTAAATCCAAGAAGTGCTCACCGAATCGTCAGCGCCTATCGACACTGAAAATTTCTGTCTTTAAACTTAGAATGACACCAAAAGATCGACTCTGATTCGTTTTAGACTGAGCATTACTATCTTCATGTAAATTTAGCTGTAATGAAATCTATGTTGAGAAACTGCCTTCTCCAAACAACCATTTATTCAGAACAAAACTCTTCACCAGACACATCCTAGTTTCTCTTAGATTACGAATATTTTATTGCAGTTAATCTTAGCCTGATATAAATGTCTCCATTTTGTTCTAACCATACATTAAAATATGTACAGTTGGAAAAAAACGATTTTCTTTTTCTATGGCGCATCTAGTGAGGATTGAACTCACATTTCAGTTGTAACTGATCTAGTGAGACAAGCTTGCGAACCATGACACCACGCCGAGCAGTTGCGGGGAGGGAAGCAGCTTTCTGCCTTGTGCCACATCTAAGATACTCTTGGAAAATAACCACATCCTAGTTGAGGTTTTGTTTTCCGTGTTGGTCTAGTTTTCTTCAGCAGTTTGCTATTATATTTTTGAGAGAAAACTTTCTCTTAGATTAGGAATATTTTATTGCAGTTAATCTTAGCCTGATATAAATGTCTCCATTTTGTTCTAACCATACATTAAAATATGTACAGTTGGAAAAAACGATTTTCTTTTTCTATAATCATTTGTTTATACTGTCAGCAATCAACAATATTTTAGGGTTAGCCATTTTGCTTGCTTTCTCTATTTACAGGGGAGGCGCGAATATTTGCCTTCATTCGAACACTCTTTTCCTAGTTTGCTTCGTTATCTGTGTTGTTCTCTTCATCGAAATAACATATGGTAATTTTTGTCAGGCCTTTAACAATATGGCTCAGTGCAAATAGGGACGGACGTATAATTAATGAAAGGAAAGAGATAGTGTAAAAAAGACAGAATCATACAAAGAAAGGGAAACACAGTGACAGAGATGAGTAAAGATAAAGGAAGAAAAAGAGAGGGAAGATTGGGAGAGGCCGAAAACGAGGAAAGAAAGAAAGGAAGAAAAGGAAGAGAAATAAGGAGGAAAAGAAACAGAGGTACAGAGCGGGAAAAAGAAAGATAGATAAAGACACTGTGAAAAAAGAGAAGTGGAAATAGGAGATGAGGAATAAAAAGAAGGAAACAGAAAAAAAAGAAAGAAAGAAAAGAAAAGAAGAAATAAGGAGGAAAAGAAACAGAGGTACAGAGCGGGAAAAAAGAAAAGATAGATAAAGACACTGTGAAAAAAAGAGAAGTGGAAATAGGAGATGAGGAATAAAAGAAGGAAACAGAAAAAAGAAAGAAAGAAAGAAAGAAAAGGAAGAGAAATAAGGAGGAAAAGAAACAGAGGTACAGAGCGGGAAAAAGAAAGATAGATAAAGACACTGTGAAAAAAGAGAAGTGGAAATAGGAGATGAGGAATAAAAGAAGGGAAACAGAAAAAGAAAGAAAGAAAGAAAGAAAAGGAAGAGAAATAAGGAGGAAAAGAAACAGAGGTACAGAGCGGGAAAAAGAAAGATAGATAAAGACACTGTGAAAAAAGAGAAGTGGAAATAGGAGATGAGGAATAAAAGAAGGAAACAGAAAAAAGAAAAAAGAAAAAGAAAAGGAAGAGAAATAAGGAGGAAAAGAAACAGAGGTACAGAGCGGGAAAAAGAAAGATAGATAAAGACACTGTGAAAAAAGAGAAGTGGAAATAGGAGATGAGGAATAAAAGAAGGGAAACAGAAAAAGAAAGAAAGAAAGAAAAGGAAGAGAAATAAGGAGGAAAAGAAACAGAGGTACAGAGCGGGAAAAAGAAAGATAGATAAAGACACTGTGAAAAAAGAGAAGTGGAAATAGGAGATGAGGAATAAAAGAAGGAAACAGAAAAAGAAAGAAAGAAAGAAAAGGAAGAGAAATAAGGAAGAAAAGAAACAGAGGTACAGAGCGGGAAAAAGAAAGATAAAGACACTGTGAAAAAAAGAGAAGTGGATATAGGAGATGAGGAATAAAAGAAGGGAAACAGAAAAAGAAAGAAAGAAAGAAACGGAATACAGAGGGTGATATAGTGGCAAAGAAAGTGTCAGAGCATGTACAAATGTCGATAATGTTTCAATTTTAATATAAATCATACAGTACAAATAATGTGTTCAAATTCGTTCTTTCTTTCAATGAACATGTCTAATTAATACGGGATAATCGTAAGGTTTGGACAAATAATTACACTGAAAATAATCCCTAATCTTGTTTCGATTTCGTTTTCCATCCTTCTGACTTTTCATTCTTTGCGTATCAAATTTTTAGAAAGCAGCTTGTTTCTAATTATATATAATTAGAAAAAAAAATGATATTATGGAACAAATTTTCCTTTTTCTTCACACGATAGGAGGTTAAAAAATCTTCCTTCAATTTCGTTATTTTGGTCACCTTTGATTCGAAAACTCCCAGAGGTGGTTGCACACGACGAAATGTAATTTTACACAAAGAATGCGTCAAAGACAAAACGCGGGAAAATAGCGATGGGGGTGGTGGGGCATGATAATATGGCACTTCAGTAACAAACAATTGTGACGTCATTTGCGAAAATCTAATGAAACGAATGTTACGAAAAAACAACAACAACAACAACAAAAAGACGCACCACCAACTACCACCATCACCAGCAACGCCGCCACCACCACTACCAGCAACAACAACAACAAAAACTGAAAGAAAAGTTTTGCACGAGCTGTAATCACCCTGTGCAATTCCCTGAATTCACAATAATAATTTCGACTGCATTCACTGAACATCTGGGAAATTCATTTTTAAGTTCAATTACATCACTTGTTAGCAAAACATTTCCCGTAACAGAAAATTCTCTTCCCAGCTGCACCTCCCCAGATACAGATTTTCTCTGCATGTGCAGTCATATCCAACCACTCACCCATAAAGGTGTAGAATTTCGACAGACAAATTCAAATAATACCTTCTTGTTCTTTTTTTTTTTTTTTTAAGCATTTCACCCCAAGCAAGGCGAGAAGCCACTAGGACGCAAGGGGTTACAGAAAATCTAGAGCAAGATCAGATAGGAGTGATAGAAGAAAGGATGAGGAGAAGGGTAGTGAACTGGAGATGTCGATTGACATTACATTTGAATAGCTGGAGATTATAGCTCTCAGGGAAACTGGAATAGGGAAGGGAGTTCCACAGGCGAGAGGTGCGAGACATGAAGCTATTGGAGTAGAAGAGACGGCTACATTTAGGAGTTTCGACAGTGAACGGGTGAGAGCGGAATGCCAGCCTCGTAGGGCGCTTGAATTCATGAAGTCTGGGAACCAGCGAATGCAGCTCCTCGGAGCAATTGCCATGAAAGTATTTGTAAAACAGACAGAGAGAGACGACGGCGCGTCTGTGAGAAAGTGACTGTAGACGAGATGCCATAGCAGGGCCAATTATATTGCATACCCGCCTCTGGAGCCTATCAAGAACCCCGAGGCAAACAGAAGGGGCTCCAGACCATATATGACAGCAATACTCCATGCAAGGATGAATGAAGCTGTAAGTAATGTTTGTCCCCTTTTCGCCTATCTCAGTCACTGTTCTGCCATCCATTTACAAAAGCTCATTAGGTATGTCACTCGTTGTTTTCCCACCCGCTCATTTTGCCATCAATATGTTTTGTGGGTGATGAATTCGACAAGCACTTCTTTCCTATTATGTTCCTCATAAATGTCAACTGTCTCTAATACTTAACAGAAAAAAAACCAACTAAACCAATTTCAATGGAGTAGATATATTCGAATGTCATTCGCTTCACACTCCTCTGCACTCTTTTGCATAGAGGTAAAGGTTTATGCCTTTTCTGTTTAGGACTGCGTTTCCGGTTCCATCTAAAGTCTACTTCAACTCTATATTTCTAACGTCTCCTGAACCCTGAATTATTTTTCATTAATTATTTATTTGTCTCCTCCCAGTAGGAATAGACAGGTTTGCCTATCGTTCGGCTCACACTCCTCCTCTCCGGTATTTTGAACAAGAGTTTTATTCCTTGTTTCCTGTTTAGGATTGGGTTTCCGGTTCCTTCTAAAGTCCACTTCAGCTCTATACCTCTAACGTCTCCTGAACCGTGAATTATTTTTCACTAATTATCTATTTGTCTCCTCCCAATAAAAGTAGATAGATTTGCCTGTCGTCCGGTTCACGCTCCTCCTCCACGCTTTTGAAAAGGAATAGAGTTTCATCTTCTGTTTCCTGTTTAGAATTGGGGTTCCAGTTTCTTTTAAATTCTTCTCATACTCTTGCACTTCCAGTGACCCATTGCGTCTTCAGTGGCATTATCGCCTTGCTTGGGGTGAAATGATTAAAAAAAAAAAAAGAAAGTTAAAAACGTTCCCATTTTGTTCTCATTTTCCTGAAAGCCTCCTCGTTCCCTTTATGTTGCGTTAATGGCATTCTCAGCATTCTTCTGCGGAACGACATTTTTGTTGTTTGTCTCGTTCTTATTGTAATTATACATGCTTTTTTCGTTTCCATTTCCCTTAAAACTTCCTCATTGATAACATGTTTCGTTCATGGTACCCTCAGACTTCTTCTCCATAAAGACATTTCTGTTGCTTGTCTCGTTCTGATTGTAAGTATACTCTTTTTTTGTTACCATTTTCCTTGAAACTTCCTCGTTGATACCATGCTTCATTCATGGTTATTCTCAGCATTCTTCTTCAGAACATCTCTTTTGCCTGAAGTCGCCTCTTCACCATGAGGAAATTCACTGCCATATAGGAGGACTGATTTTACATTACAGCTGAGGAGTATAATATTTGATTCCAACGAAATTTTCTTGTTTCTTAATATTTTGTTTGGTTTTTGAAAGGCATGTTTCTCTCTTCAAAAGCACCTTCGTTATTTCTCAGCGACATTTTCCAACGTCTTTTGTAACACTTCCGAGTGTTTCTTAAGATTTCAATTCGGAACTCCTATCTTTGGTTGTCTGTCTTTTTTAATCATTTCACCCTAATCAAAGCAATAAAGCCACTAAGGGTCAAGGAGTTACTGTGTGTGAAAGAATATGACAGAAAGAAAAACATTATCAAGGAGAGGGTTTGATAAAAAACGGGAATTAAGAAGACAGAAGATAACGATTAAATGTTTGCATTTAAGATTTTGAAGATTAAACTTAATTGGAAAGCAAGAAGCCGAAAGAGAGTTTCACGTGCGAGAATTTTTTTTTTTAAAACCATATCATCACATTGAAGGCAGTATATATATATATATATATATATATATATATATATATATATATATATATATATAAAAGATTACAGGGTGTGGAAAAATTAAGAACTGAAACATTAGTAATGGAGAGAAAGAGAAAAAGCAATCATGAGAACAGTAGATAGTGTTTGACATTACATTTAAATCTTTGCATATTAAAGTTGGCTGCAAAGCATGGAACAGAAAGGGAGTTCCACAAGCGAGAAATGCGAGTAAAGAAACTGTTAGCATAGAACTTACGGCTACATCTAGCCACCTCAATTCTAAATTGATGAGAGATATCGATGCCACTCTCATATTGCGCTTAAATTCATAAAGTCTAGGTGCCATAGTGAAACGCTTATCTGAACAATTACCATTAGAGTATTTATAAAAGAGAGGCATAAAGAGTTCAACCATACGGGTATATATATATATATATATATATATATATATATATATATATATATATATATATAAATATATATGTTAAACACTAATATTCCATGGTCATAATTTATTCCATTGGAATCGTAAATACGATCCAATTCATCAGACCTACAAATTCAAAAAGTGAACAGAAAAAACAACTTCGGAAATAAAAAATAGAATTTAGAGAGAGTGTAAGTATGAGAGTGTGGGACAAATGTTAGAGCTAAAGAGAGGGGTAACAGACGAGAGAAGGTGGGAGATTAAAACATAACAGAAAGAAGTTTTAGAGAGGTGAGTTAAAGACGGTTTAAGCGAGAGAAATATGAATGTTGTTGGATGTCTAATACGTTAAAGATGTAACCGGAAAGGATACATTTTGTGGTGACATACACACGCAATATAGACGATCTAAACTTAAAGATCAGAAGAAGAGGGAGGGAGAGGAAAAGAAAAGAAAAAGGGGTGGGGGAGAGAGATGGGGCGGGGGAAACTAAAACTGAAGGACATTTACTGAAAGGGCCGCTGTGTAATTAAGAAAATTTGACAAAATTAGTATCGACGACAGGTTACAAATCAAATATAAACATATAAAAAATAAATATAACGATTATCTAATCTAGCAAGGACCTATATTTTTATGTTTAAAAACACATGCGTATACACACATAAACAATAACATATACACGTACATACATACATATAGGTGTGTACCCACATACACACGTATATATACCCATGTACACACATACACATACATCCATATATATATATATGTATATATATATATATATATATATATATATATATACATACATATATATATATACATATACATACATACATACACATACATACACACACATACATGTATACATATATATATATATATATATATATATATATATATATATATATATATATATATATGAGAATAAATCTTAAGAGACAGGAAACCTACCCTGAGGATCCGTTTATGTGAAACCTAGGTTTTTCTGGCTATATGGGATTTATTTTATTTATTCCCGCTCTACTTAGCGTTTTGAGTACTCTACGTTTTAGCTTTACTACACGCTTGGGTTTTTTTTTTGTTTGGACGTTAAAGACTTAAGGCACTGGACGATTTGTTTCGCCCTGTTCAAATGTTTTTAGTTCTTTCTTTATTTTCCATTTTTTTTCTCGGGTACCGATTTGTTTTGACATATCGACAAGCTAGTAATACTCGGTTGGAAAAAAAAACCTAGGATAGCACAAATTGTAGATATGTCAAAGCAAAAGGGTCCCCGAGAAAATATATATATATATATATATATATATATATATATAGCTGACCACACGTATTCGAGGATACCTGTTTACTAGGGCGGCTAGCCAATCCCTATTGAAGACGCTTGCTTTGGCACATTTGTGTTTATTCAACACCCACAGAGCCCACTTGTGGTTTATACTGCAACTATGCTGAGCAGACCTTAGTTACAGTTTCTGGGAAATACCGTGTTATCTAGCGTGATCAACAATTTGAACCAGCCAGCACGCTCAAGCCCTCGATCACGATGACTTGCGACTTCGTCCTAACAGGGCTATCGACGGACCCTAAGGGTTCCGTCTACCCAATTTCACTCACAAGGCTTGGGTCAACTGTGGTATGGATTTCAGGCACTTTCCTGGGCACGCTGGGATCGATCCTCCAGTTCGATAACATCAGGAAGTTTCATACCTGACAAATCTACTAAGGTGAGCTTCGAACCCCGGTCTCATTGTCAGAATGCTAACGCTCTAAACATATATATATATATATATATATATATATATATATATATATATATATATATATATATATATATATATATATATATATATATATATATATATATATATATGTATATTGGGGGTGCGTGTATGTGTGTGTAACTTTGTGCATCGTGACATATTGCGTCGAGAATATGAACATATTTTACGTCTTAAAAAACAATGCTCTTCTTTAAATTGTCTCATATGAAATCGGCTTTCAGAAGATTTGACTGTAAAGTTGTAAAAAATCCGTCGATGATGAACAAATAGAATGAGTGTTGTGTCATTGAAAGTGGCCTAAATAATAAAAAGTATTAAATAACATCCATCCATTCGTTGTGTATCAGAATTCACATTCTATTATTCCCCGTTTAGAATGCCTTTTCGCCATTTGATAGTTTTGAGTTCCCTTGTTCGCTCAGGGGAACAAGAATCATTAATAGAAAATAAAGGGAATGATTTTACGTTAGTTTTAGTTTTTAGATTATTATTATTATTATTGGAGCTGTGAAAGATTCATTGAAATATTTTTATTGTATTGCAAAGCAAACAATGAAACAATGGAAAAATGGGCTGGTTATGAAAGATTCCGTACGACAAGTGATATGTAGAAAAAAAGATGGGGGAATTAAGAAGAAGAAGAAGAGCATCAACAAGAAGAAGACGACGACGACAAAGAAGAAGAAGAAGAGGAAGAAGAAGAAGCGGCAGAGAAGAAAGAAGACGAAGGCTAAGAAGAAGAAGAAGAAGAGGAAGAAGAGGAAAAAGAAGAAGAGGAGGAGAAGAAAGAAGACAAAAGCTAGGAAGAAGAAGAAAAGGAAGAAGAAGAAGAAGAAGAAGAGGAGGAGGAGAAAGATTATGAAAAAGAAGAGCATCAAGAAGAAGAAGACGACGACGACGACAAAGAAGAAGACGACGACAAAGAAGAAGAAGAAGAGGAAGAGGAAGAAGCGGCGGAGAAGAAAGAAGACGAAGGCTAGGAAAAAGAAGAAGAAGAAGAGGAGGAGGAGGATGAAGAGGAAAAAGAAGAAGAGGAGGAGGAGAAAGAAGACAAAAGCTAGGAAGAAGAAGAAAAGGAGGAATAAGAAGAAGAAGAAGAGGAGGAGGAGGAGGAGTAAGAAGGGGAAGTAGAGGAAGAAGAAGAAGAAGAAGAAGAGGAGTAGAATAAGAAGAAGAAAAGAAAGAAGACGAAGAAGTGGAAGAAGAAGATGAACAGGAAGAAAGAGAGGAAGAAGGAGAAGAAAAAGAAAAGGAAGAAGAAGGAGAAAAATATAAAGAAGATGAAGAAAAAGAAGAAGAATGCTGTCAAAAGCAAAGTAAATAAAAAATGAAGCTACGTAGGTAAGTAAAATTATAACCAGTGAACACGTACTATATTTTTGCGAAACCTGAGGCTCCACAAGAGACAAATCTACTGTTAAAACTTTTATTCTACGTGACACTGCTTTCAGAATCTCAAGTGTCTAATTGACATTGAAAAATATTACAAAAGGCAATTCTGACTCCCATGGTGATTGCATTAAACACAAATGACAGCAAATATTTCACGGTCTTCTGCTGTGAGGTAGGATCCACAGAAATATGCCAATCGAAGAATTGAAAATGCCTAGAAATACACACATTAGCATAAGCACACGCACAGAATCAAGTATGGAAGCGTATACACAGCTGCATGTGCATAACATGTAATATATATATGACTGTGTGCGTGTTTGTGTGTACGTGTGTTTAAATTAATTTTACAAAACTTAGTGACCAACCACATGTGATAAATTATATGAGAAATTTAAGAAGGTAAGGCGGCTTCAGTTATGTAATTTTGTCTTTTAAAATGCCTAAGCAACAAATACTTGAATGACATTTTTATCAAAAGCAGGGCGTGTGAAGCATTCACATTGGTGATCACTTATTGACAGATGTTTGAAAGTGGAAAAATCATTAATCTTAGACAATTCATCGAGCGGTGAATGATCTATCGATGTGAAAAGTGAACGGAGATTTTTCCCACCAAGTACGACACAACATAAGGCTTCCTCTGGCACAAATTGTAGGTAGTTTCAAACAACGTAAGACGGAATGCGATTAGATACGACAGAAGTGAAAATCAAACGCAAAATCTAGCTTTCTTCTAAATGAGTATGCCAGTAAAATTACTTAATCCATTGAAAACAACCAATTATGTTTACTTGTATTTATGTGTATGTTCGTTGTTTGTTAATTTGTTTATTATTTACTTAGTTTATTTACTTATTAGTTTAGACTAATTTATTTTTTTTTGTTTTTGTTTATTTATTTTATTTTAATTATTTATTTTCGTTTATTCTTGTTTGTTTCCAGTTTTCGATTTTTATGTAGCGTAGTAAAATTTTTTTTTTGTATCTGCATTTTATGATGCATTCTGATCCCTTATTTAGTTGTTTGTTTTTCTTTGGGAAGGGAATCATGGCTATTTTTTTCCTTCAGGCACAATATACAGTTTTTGGATTGATTGTTGTAGGCTGATATAGTTTTCCTTATTTTCCGTGATATTTTTGGTGTAATTTGATTTTTGTTTTTAATCTCCCAAATATATTTAGAAAGCATTGTGCTGTTTGCGTATTTGCTATTTGTAAATAATGTTTGTGTGCGTAGTTTCTTTGTTTCCCGGAACATTCAGTTACTTTTATGTATATTTTTCTTTGATATCTGTTGATTTTATAGTGGCTTGGTATATTGCATTGTTCGGTAAGCAATTGCCGTTTAAGAGATATTCGTTCTTTGTTCTGCAGTTATACGTGGATTTAATTTTTCAGGTGGGTTGTTGGTTGTTTTTCTGTTGTGCTTTTTTATTATTTGTGCCATGTTCTCGGTGAAACTGTAGCTGATTTTATTGTGTTTTTTGTTGAATATCATGTGGAGACTTAATGATGCGGTGAAGTGTTTATGCGTGAGTTTTATAAATATTTCTCTTACGTTTGTTTTTATGTTTTTTTTTTTTGTACGGGAGAGTTGAACCATATGATGTTTCTCTTCCTGTTAGGCTTTTTTTTTGTTTTGCTGTGTCGTGTGTATGTGAGGGCTGCCCAAAAAGATAGTGCATTCTCGGAATTTTACTGGGCTTTATTGCAGAAAAATTAATGGAAGCTTAGCCAGTATTCTGTAAAGAGAGTTTATATAGAATCATTTGTCTAATGGTGTTAAATTAATTTAATAACCAGTACCCTATCTGCGACTCTACTTTGTAACGTATTATTAATCCCGAGTAAAGTTCATTTCCATCAGAATTCAATATGTCCATTTTTATAATATTTCTACCATATTTCGAGAAAGCCTATTTTCATCCATCTACATTTATGGCTGTATACGTAATTTAAATATTATTAAACCTACTTGTAATAATCCATATTTGACGAAGCAGGGCAGATGAGAAATAAAGAATAAGCTTTAAAAAAAAACAAGATAAATAAGATAAAAGAAATACTAGTCCAAAATGAATAATAATTGACAATGCTTCATCTAAGAAATTTGAAACCTATTAATACTACTAGTAATAAAGCATATTTAAGTAAGCAGGGCAGATGAGAAATAAAGAATAAGCCTTGAATAAAAAGCAGGAGAAATAAGATGAAAGAAATACTAGTCCAAAATGAATAATAATTGACAATGCTTCATCTAAGAAATTTGAATCCTATTAATACTACTAGTAATAAAGCATATTTAAGTAAGCAGGGCAGATGAGAAATAAAGAATAAGCCTTGAATAAAAGCAAGAGAAATAAGATGAAAGAAATACTAGTCCAAAATGAATAATAATTGACAATGCTTCATCTAAGAAATTTGAATCCTATTAATACTACTAGTAATAAAGCATATTTAAGTAAGCAGGGCAGATGAGAAATAAAGAATAAGCCTTGAATAAAAAAAGCAAGAGAAATAAGATGAAAGAAATACTAGTCCAAAATGAATAATAATTGACAATGCTTCATCTAAGAAATTTGAATCCTATTAATACTACTAGTAATAAAGCATATTTAAGTAAGCAGGGCAGATGAGAAATAAAGAATAAGCCTTGAATAAAAAGCAAGAGAAATAAGATGAAAGAAATACTAGTCCAAAATGAATAATAATTGACAATGCTTCATCTAAGAAATTTGAATCCTATTAATACTACTAGTAATAAAGCATATTTAAGTAAGCAGGGCAGATGAGAAATAAAGAATAAGCCTTGAATAAAAAGCAAGAGAAATAAGATGAAAGAAATACTAGTCCAAAATGAATAATAATTGACAATGCTTCATCTAAGAAATTTGAATCCTATTAATACTACTAGTAATAAAGCATATTTAAGTAAGCAGGGCAGATGAGAAATAAAGAATAAGCCTTGAATAAAAAAGCAAGAGAAATAAGATGAAAGAAATACTAGTCCAAAATGAATAATAATTGACAATGCTTCATCTAAGAAATTTGAATCCTATTAATACTACTAGTAATAAAGCATATTTAAGTAAGCAGGGCAGATGAGAAATAAAGAATAAGCCTTGAATAAATGCAAGAGAAATAAGATGAAAGAAATACTAGTCCAAAATGAATAATAATTGACAATGCTTCATCTAAGAAATTTGAATCCTATTAATACTACTAGTAATAAAGCATATTTAAGTAAGCAGGGCAGATGAGAAATAAAGAATAAGCCTTGAATAAAAAGCAAGAGAAATAAGATGAAAGAAATACTAGTCCAAAATGAATAATAATTGACAATGCTTCATCTAAGAAATTTGAATCCTATTAATACTACTAGTAATAAAGCATATTTAAGTAAGCAGGGCAGATGAGAAATAAAGAATAAGCCTTGAATAAAAAAGCAAGAGAAATAAGATGAAAGAAATACTAGTCCAAAATGAATAATAATTGACAATGCTTCATCTAAGAAATTTGAATCCTATTAATACTACTAGTAATAAAGCATATTTAAGTAAGCAGGGCAGATGAGAAATAAAGAATAAGCCTTGAATAAAAGCAAGAGAAATAAGATGAAAGAAATACTAGTCCAAAATGAATAATAATTGACAATGCTTCATCTAAGAAATTTGAATCCTATTAATACTACTAGTAATAAAGCATATTTAAGTAAGCAGGGTAGATGAGAAATAAAGAATAAGCCTTGAATAAAAAGCAAGAGAAATAAGATGAAAGAAATCCTAGTCGAAAATGAATAATAATTGACAATGCTTCATCTCAGAAATTTGAATCCTATTAATACTACTAGTAATAAAGCATATTTAAGTAAGCAGGGCAGATGAGAAATAAAGAATAAGCCTTGAATAAAAAGCAAGAGAAATAAGATGAAAGAAATACTAGTCCAAAATGAATAATAATTGACAATGCTTCATCTAAGAAATTTGAATCCTATTAATACTACTAGTAATAAAGCATATTTAAGTAAGCAGGGCAGATGAGAAATAAAGAATCAGCCTTGAATAAAAAGCAAGAGAAATAAGATGAAAGAAATACTAGTCGCAAATGAATAATAATTGACAATACTTCATCTAATAAATTTGAATCCTATTAATACTACTAGTAATAAAGCATATTTTAGTAAGCAGGGCAGATAAGAAATAAAGAATAAGCCTTGAATAAAAAGCAAGAGAAATAAGATGAAAGAAATACTAGTCAAAATGAATAATAATTGACAATGCTTCATCTCAGAAATTTGAATCCTAATAATACTACTAGTAATAAAGCATATTTAAGTAAGCAGGGCAGATGAGAAATAAAGAATAAGCCTCGAATAAAAAGCAAGAGAAATAAGATGAAAGAAATACTAGTCCAAAATGAATAATAATTGACAATACTTCATCTAATAAATTTGAATCCTATTAATACTACTAGTAATAAAGCATATTTAAGTAAGCAGGGCAGATGAGAAATAAAGAATAAGCCTTGAATAAAAAGCAAGAGAAATAAGATGAAAGAAATACTAGTCCAAAATGAATAATAATTGACAATACTTCATCTAAGAAATTTGAATCCTATTAATACTACTAGTAATAAAGCATATTTAAGTAAACTGGGCAGATGATGGTACTTTGAATATTATACATCTGTGAAGACAAACATACCATATCCATATAACAAACAGACTCACATGGAAATAAAAGCTGGTTTATATAGATGAAAAAAAAAAAAACTTTTCACATCTGTTAAAATGCAAGCGACTGTGGGAGAATTCATTGATTTGGGTCACCAGAGAAGAACAGAAAATAAGAAAATGAATATATCTTGGAAAACATTGACTAAATGAACTCAGGAGGGAGACATGCTAACGTTCTGAAATCCCAACGCCGATATATACTTTCAGTAGAGTCTGCATACACACACACACACACATATATATATATATATATATATATATATATATATATATATATATATATATATATATATAGTGGGACACAGTTCATGTCCTGTCGGAGAAAGTCTATTTTACTTTAATAAGATATAAGATATTCTCTGTAAATGCCGGTAAATGAAAATAGATAAATATACTCTTTAATAAATAAACGGAGCGTCTACTCAAACACGAGTATCCACTAAAAATAACGTTTAAGTAATAAAAAAATTGTCAGACTAATAAAAAAAAAATCCCTATCTTTAGAAATTACGTTTGTTTACGTTAGGATAAGAAACAGAGGCAAAGAAAAATCTGTGTTTAAAGACCCCATTCAACTTGGTCATTGTGGCACTCTGTAGCCGAGAGGTCAAAGTACGTCAGATCTAATGACGGTATCCTTTAGAGGAACGCAAGTTCGAATCCTGCAGGTGAGCGTAAGATTTCTCGAATATTCAGGCCAGTAGACGAAAATAAATAATTATACTGTTTGATAAACAAACAAAGCGTCTACACAAATACAAGTATCCACTAATAATAACGTTTAAAGTGATAAATATCTGTTGGATTGATAAATAAAGAATCCTGTACTTCTTTAGCAATTGCCTTGTTTACATTTGGATACGAAACTGAGTAGATGTGAACTTTCGAGAGTTTATGACGGCAAGGATTACGCTTAAAGGCACTTGCTATATATATATATATATATATATATATATATATATATATACATTCACTTACGTGCTAATACCCTTGGCGAGGGTATAAATCCTCTTCTTCTCCCTCCAGCTATGGGTAAATAGCAGGACAGACTGGATTCTATAGCCTTGGATGGCAACTGGTCTAGGAGAAGGAAAACTCTGAATTCGAAGTGGACCAGGTCTCTGTATTCGACCCTTCAAAAAGTGTCCAGCACGAAACCTTCACCACTGTAATCAATTCATTTTCATATGCTGTTGTGGGTCTGTCAGTTTTCTGAAAACTGATCTGCTTAACCCTCATACGTCGAGTCGACGGGAGAGTCGAGTATATATATATATATATATATATATATATATATATATATCACTTTAAACGTTGTCTTTAATGGATAATGATATAGACGGTCTGTTTATATATTATTATATATATATTATATATAAAAGGAGCGTTTTCTCAGATAACGCGTAAAGTGACATATATATATATATATATATATATAAGAGACAAGAGGAAAAAACTCTTTTTAGGTAATGTCCGAGGACGAAACGCATTGGCTATATCTTGTCTCTTTATGCTCTTATCTCTTTTTATTCATATATATATATATATATATATATATATATATATATATATATATATTCTTCATAGGCTGATTTTATCAGATAACGAACTTGATAAATTGAAGCTGGTGATATTTGAACCCGTGTTGTATGATCGGAACAACAATGTTTTCACGACTAAGTATATATATGTTCTTAGTTTTTACGTATATTAGAGTGATCGTTTTAAATACTTGTAAAAGAGCTTTTTAATACACATAAAAATAAGAATTTTATTTAGTTATATAAATTTACAGTAGTTTCATACTACGCTGTTTATACAGATGAATTTGTTTATTTTGAATCCTACTAAAATCTATCGTTCACTTCCTGTTTTTCTAAAGCAGTACATCACCATGCCAACTGTTCGAAATAATTTATTTCCTTTTATTTATTAAACTATCTACATCCTGAAATTCTATAGGTTTTTTTTGTTCCTCCTCCATGTACAGATTACAATTTTTGCGTATCAGTTGTGTGCCATGCGTGATACACGTTTTAGGCGATCCTGTATCTTTCGATACATGACTAACGAGACAGATTTTTGCCTGCAGTAGGTTGCTATTTCTTTCTATAGTAGACCAGTTGCCACCCAAGGTTATAGAACCTGGTCTGTCCTACTATTTATCCATAGCTGGGGGGAAAGAAGAGGATTCATACCTTCCCAAGGATATTAACACGTAAGAGAATATAATGGATTCAACTAGAATTCGAACTCGAATTCCAGTCGAATCCATTACATTCACATACGTGTTAATATCCTTGGGAAAGGTGAAAGAAAGGAGAAAGAATTTTGCCTATACTTATCTTTAACTGTATTTACATTAGTCGGACTATTGTCCTCATCTTTGTCGCCATATTTGTCACAACGTTTCGGCCGTTGTACGCTCCGGCCTTCTTCAGATGGTTGTAATTTCGAACTGAACCCTTTATTTCGATCACTGGGGTAGACTGTTCTAGTTCCACGTGCCATGATTGATGGATGTCAGTTATCAGTTATCTCCTGCTAATTTTCCCTCTGAAAGTTCTCCACTGCCTTAACCAGGTATTGAACTCACCTTCAAGGGTTTAGTTCGAAATTCCAACCACCTGAAGAAGGCCGGAGCGTACAACGGCCGAAACATTGTGACAAATATGACGACAAAGATGAGGACAATAGTCCGACTAATGTAAATACTGTACATAATACCTCATCTCAGAAATATAGACAGACTCTTATCTTTAACTGTTATTTTATTAATATATCATTCTATTCACAATAGTATTTACGCAAGTCTCCCCACTATAAGGTCAGATTGAATGTGGGGAACCCGAGTGTTTAAACTAGGGCCAGGGACAAAAATTTTCCAGCCCTCGTAACCGTCGGCTGCGCTGGCGTCAGTATGACTACCGTCTCACCTCTCTAGTGTAATTGTGGTGGGGTGCAGCCGCTGGCAGCTGTTCCCCGGGACCGGGTACCTCACAGAATTTTATTTTCCTTCAGCTACGGCTCTGTCTGCGGACAGAGCCACAACTGAGTCGAACTCTGCCCGAGGACAGAGATGCAAATGATAAATGATAATCTGACCCCGGCATCAAGCGTGGAAGGTCATTCTACTCACGGTTATTCTCTTTCGTCTTTAGTTCTCATATATATTTTGACAACAATCTTATCTCTTTCGCATTTGAATGCTAGCAAATATTTTGCTCATCTTTCCTTGAATTCTGTTGGTTCTCATTTTCATAGGACTCAATCCCGGTCTGTCTTGCTTGAAGTCAGAACGCTGTTTTCGTTAATACGAACTTGCTCTTGTATGTCAACTCCAATTCTTAGTTTGTGAACTTTTTGCCATATTCCTGTTGCTTTGCCGTATTGCCTTGCTTTATGGGACCTTACCCATAATAACATAATGGACTATTCCCTACGTAATAAATACTGCGCCTCACGAGGAAGCAGAGAGTTCAGTCTGAAGTCGGACGACCGGCTGACCGGCTGATCGGTTGAACTCTCTGCCTTCGGGCGGGGAGGAACCCGAACGAGGCTACGCTGAAGGGCGGAGTCTCTTTCGGGGAGGTAAACCGACCCTGAACCCCTTTTATACGGGTTCAAAGGGCATATTTTTGGCCGAGCCCACGGGCTCGGACATCCCACTTTAAACTGGCCTTGTGCCACATGATGCCCTCGTGGGGGGATGACTAAATACTGTTCCGTCTGAAGTCCGAGTTCAGTCTGAAGTCTGGAGTGAAGTCCGTCAGGAGTCTGTCAGTCAGTCAGAGCGAGCGAGTCTGTCAACCGAGTCAGAGGCAGTCCGAAACAGAGTCGCGTTCAGACAATTACTACTAAACCTGCTTGTTCGTACTAACACTTTCTACTTCTCTGTATATATTCCTGTTTGTAATATATCTGTGTTATTCCATATCCGTATTCGAGTTCTTCTTTATAGGTTCTACCTTGGACTATCACCGTGGTACAAGGAACCGGACCATAACACCTTGCATATATTGTTTGCTTGTTTTATATTATTTGTTTGCCCTGTTCTTTTCTTTTCTTCTTCTTGTTTATTGCAGACTTTATCAATTCTGTTTGTTTGACATTTCTACCATCTATTTGCATTTAACCATGTCCGCTCATTCTACAAATTCTTTCCCAGTTACTCCGATATATATCCTCCTCCAATCTTTCCTTTGTTATCACTTTCACCTTATGTTTTTGTCCCTACTGTTTCCCTATAGTGGGGACATAAGGTCATATTCCACTGAAACACCGCTTGTGCGGAAAGCGTGGATGTGTGGATGGTGACATGGATATCGGATCCGAAAATCTAAGAACTGTGTTCCAATTCTAGTCGATTGTGTTATATACACATAGGCGCAAATAACCTTGGGGAAACTTAGCAATCTACCACGTATTTTCCCCAGCTATGGGTTAATTAGTAAGACTGGTATGAGTAAATCCTTATTATCTTTCCAAGTTTTTGCGATCTAGGAATATTTTCTGATATTAAAAAAAAACCTACAGAACGTTGATAAGCCGTGAAAAATAAATCCGTCATGGACATTTCGTTTTATTTCTGCAATTACTTTTTCATTACTGTTTTTATATTTAGTATTTGGTTGTTATGTTTTTATGATTTTTCCATCTTTAACTAATTTTGATGGGCTTTCCTTTAAATATTTCGTTTATTTAATGTAATTTGTGAAAATGTTTGTCTTAAAAATGACGTACATTTTACTGCATTTAAATCAACATGGATCGAACCATATTATTTTTCTATTTTTGTTTTAGCATGTATTGTTAAGATATATGTATATATATATACACACACACACACACACACACACACACACACACACACACACACACACACACATATATATATATATATATATATATATATATATACAAACTTCGTTTTAAATCCACTATCATTTAATGCTATTTTTTTTTCATTTTACTTCATTAAATGGCATTTTATCTAAAGAGTTTCATAAAGCTTAATAGTCAGTGAGTGTCCTGCACCTGATGACTGCATATTTGCATGAAACTCCGAGTTGTGCAATCG